AAATTTTTATTGATAATCTTATATTGCAATAAAATTTTCTTTCTAAAATGGAACTACCCAATTTGTGATTTTTTTAATAATTCAATACAAATTTTTCCCCAAAATAGTAATTCAAAAGTTGTGAAAATGACACAATATTTTTTTCTCCGAAACGGAACCCATAAATTTTATAAATCACTACAAAATTTGTTAATCGTTAGACAAATCTCTAACAAGAGTGTATTGTTATATTTTTAAAAAATATTAATTTTAAATTCAAAACTGAAAAAGTTAAAAGTAAATTTTTCTAAAATAATCCCACCTTTCATTTATTTGCAAAAAACATGCATTTTCAAAAACTTCTGTTAAGTGGCCGTTAGTTTTTTAACGGTGACCCAAAACTCGCACACATGCGAAAAGGTGGGATTATTTCCGTTGACAGTGAAAAGTGGGATTATTTTTGAAAGAGCGCGAAAAGGTGGGATTATTTGAGATAATTTTTCCTTTAATTTATCACTCAATTTATCATCTATTACCTCCGTTCTATTAAAAAAAACTTTATTGTTTTGACATTTTTTAGATAAAGAGTGTCACCCTTTACAATAAACTAAACAAAATCTAAATTACTAAATATTACTCTTTGGCTAAAAAATAAGAATAGGAAAAAAAATTCAGGAAGAAGGCAGAAAAAATCTACTCTTTCCGTTTTAGTAAATCATTCTTATTTTGACTTTTAGCTAAAATAAAGAATGTATATTTATAGTTGACTTTTCAATTTTGTCATTGATGTAATATGTAAAAGTAAGATGTGATAGATATGTTATTAGAGCATGGGCAATGGCATGGAGCCTCTCATGCCTCACTGAGAACACTATTCCATGCGTGGATGGAGCATTGCACCTCTATTTGGAAGTCACAAGCGTGGCAATCTTGCCCCTATTTTATTTTTTTTAATTTTTTTTTAAGGAAAAAAATCTGTTAATTTTTTTGAGTAAGTAGTAATATTTTTATGATAAACAAAACAAGTATAATAATTTTTAATAATCAAAATATGTCAAAAAATATAAAAAGATAACAAAAACAATGACTTGCCATTGTAAGGTTTGACACTCCACTCATTTGTCACACGCTGACTAGCTTGTTTTTTATTGGTTAAAATACTTCACGTCAGCGTGTGACATTCCATTCATTACTTGTCATTGCCCATGCTCTTAGTAAAAAAATATGACGTAATAGGTAGAGTAAGAAAAAGTAATTGTATAAATGATTTTTAATAGGAGGTGAAAATGTTTTAGAGAAAGGATAAACAACTAAAGGGAAAGTGTTTTACGAAATGGAGAGAGTATATAACTCATACTCCTATTATAATTTTTGTATTCCTAATATATTTGCTTAAACATCACTATATTTACATTGTTAAAAGATATGCTAAAAAGGAGTTTTTCAAGTTTTTTGCCACTAAACATTTGATAAAATACATGTTTTCGCCCTAAACTTTTAAAAGTGTATCATTCATCCATATACTTTTCCTAAAGTGTGTGCTTTTCTAATGAACATTTTATAAATTTCATGTTTTTGATCAAAACCTTTAAAACTACGTAATTAGTCCATATACTTTTCATAAAGTGTGCCTTTACGCCAAACTTTCAAAAGAACACCTTAATTAATTAAAAGATGGTGCAAGAATGAAATTAATACTAAACAAGTTGAATAATGTCTTTACTAAATTCGAATAAGAAGAAAAAAATATCTTGAAGAACATAGCGACTAATGTCGAAAAATATTCCTGAAGTCTCAGTTGACACGAGTGCTACCTAGAGCTAGATGAAAATGCCATTGATGAAAATGCACCACTACAAGAAATAACAAATCGACTACCCCATTTATATCACTTTCATAAACAAATCGATGCAAATGGGATTGATATTTTCGCTAGCTGGTATCTTTTAAACCGGTTATTTGTAACAACAGCAGGGCCGGCTACACCCATGGGCAACATGGTCATATGTATAGGGCCCAATTTTGGAGTGGGCCCCATTTTTATATATACTCCATAATATATATGCATACGTATTTATTTATATAAAAACTAAAAAAAGAACACTAAAAGGTCTGCGACGCACATGGTTTAACTCTTTTTTTTTAATTTTTTTCTTTCAAAAATTACTCCAATTAGGTTATTAGCCGTTGGTTTTATCAATTTTATCATGTTCATGAATCATGATAAAATTAGAGTAAATAAACAATTTTCAATTTTATAATTTCATAAATTAGATTAGTTGATTTCATATTGATTTATGATTTTCACTTTGAAATTAATTAGATTGTATGTACAATTTATTTTATTTAAGATTGCTAATTTTGTGTGCGGATTTGATTATTTGAAGTTTTGACTTTGACATTTTATTACTCCGTATTTTTATTACTATAATACTCTCAAGAATGCTAGAAAACTTCACGAATCCTTAGTTAGCTAGTAATATAAGTAATTTTAATTTTATAAGACTATAAATTTGACAATTTATTATTTTTATTATTATAATATTAAATTATTTAAATACACTAATTGAGAAAATTTATTTTATTATGACACAATGACTCATTTTTCTTATGTCGTCCAGGGCCCCTGATTTCTTGGAGATGGCCCTGAACAACAGATTTAATACCCTATTGAACCGGTTGTTACAAATAACCGATTTAAAAAATATATATCATTTGAATCAATTATTTGTAATAATTGATTCAATAAGCTATTGAATTGGTTATTACAAATAACTGATTCAATAAAGTGGATTAAAATTAGCGATTGAAATAAACATATGTTTATTTCAAGGACTTATACACATTATGTTTGTCTTTGTTGGGTAGCTTTTTTAACCAATCTTGCAAAAAACAAACTCATCAATGACATATTCATCAAACTCCAACTGTCATTTCAATTGAGGCGTGAGAAGACTTAGATTTGAAAAACATGCATTTAGCAGTTTTGTTCTGGAAGTTAGTTTTTCTAATCTTTTTATTCATGCATGTTTGCATAAACACATTATGTTGTTTGAGTAAGAGAAATTTTCAAATTTTTAACCATTTGCCATTTCAAAAAGGTGCACTTTTGAAATTCGAGGGGAAAACACGCAATTTTGGAATAGTATATAGACGAAAAATGCGCTACTTTTAAAAGATTGGGAAAAAATATACAAATTATAAAGAGTTTGGGGTAAAATACATTTTTATAAAAAAGTATAAACACTAATGGTCTACTTTTAAAAGTTCATAGTGAAAGACATACACTTTGTACAATGTTTGGAGGTAAATAACACAACAAACTTACTAAACACATCTGTAGTTTACCTTATTGAGGTTTGTCGTCTATCTGAATAACAACAATGTTTTCTATGGTAATTTGTATCATTATATTTACTCAGCAGTAGCATGTAACACGAGACTATTTTATCTTTTAGCGTACGTTTCTGCGATTTCTAATATTTAAAAGTAAAGATAAACTCGCCGACGGCCTAGGAAATATCAACGATATTTTCTATATTTAGCTATTAACGATGAGGCAGAGCCTCGGAAAAGCTAAGAAACCGTGTAGGTAGGTAGAAGCAAAGAAAGAAAGAAAGAAAGAAGGAGGGCATAAATAGAAGAGAAATGGGACGAGTGAAGCTGGAGATAAAGAAAATAGAGAATACAACTAATCGGCAAGTCACTTATTCCAAACGGAGAAACGGTCTGATTAAGAAAGCTTATGAGCTTTCTGTTCTCTGTGAAATTGATGTCGCCCTCATCATGTTTTCCCCTTCTGGTAAACCGAGCGTTTTCTCCAGCAACAATAAAAGGTATATATGTACAACTCGATATGCTTATCTATTAAATCGAAATCGGGTATCCTGCAACCTGTGCCGAATATCGACAAATCTATAGACTAGACAGATTGTGTGACACCAGATCTTCACTCATACACTAGTGTTTATGAATTTTTTCTTCCAATTAGTGACAAATTTTAAATGTGTATTGTTGTTGTTTTGATGTTTTTTTTGTTCTTCGGTGGATCCGGTTAATTAATTTGATGTTGTAAAGCATTGAAGACATTATAGTCCGATACGTAAATCTTCCCAAGCAGGAGCGAGGCCGGTACATAATTAATTACTCAATTTATACTTTGATTAATTAATTTTTAATTAGCACAAAATATTGTTCTTCATTTAAAATTTCCTTTTTTTCCTTTAACATTTACTATGATTAATTAATGGTTTATATATTGATGGGATCCATCCATTATTTTGCACGCGCACCATATGAAGTCTACAAAACCAAGAGGTACATTTTCAAAAATTCCTTCATTAATTATTCACAATTAATAGTATTTTGAATTACGTAATTAAAAAGTGGATCGGATAATAATCCCTTAATAATATTAAATGCCGTTATATATATGTATACATAGTTTCTGCAAAGGGCTCTGGCCAAGTTGAAATACGAATCATCAGATCTGAACAGTCACGCAGCCAGGTGCACCCATATAATAATAAAGATTATATGTCCATTTTTTTATACATTAAAAATCCAATAAATAAATAAATAAATATAGACATTTAAAATATAAAAATTGATGAAGTATAGAGTATTATCTGAAGGATGTTGACTGACTTTTTTTTTGTAATTTTGTGATCAAATATTAATTTCAAAAGCCCTATGAACAGTGCCGACCACCAACTGGAGGTACAACGAATTACTGCTTAATATATTTATTTATTTATTTGTACACGGAAAAATTTGTTTGTTATTTTTTTATATATATGTGAATTTTTATTTTAATGATCATTGAAAAAACACAGGAAATTCAACAGCAGCTTGCGAAATGCAAGTCCAGGCTAGAGCAAGTGGAGCAGCGACTGAGGTAATTAATCATATTGAATGTTATTAGCTTAATTGAATTGATTATCAATTAATTAATTAATCCCTTAACGATTCATCAAAATGTGATTAGCGCGTGTTTAGTCCAGCTAATTATACGGATGTTGACAGAGTGTATGAATGTGATCCGTGTGAGATAATAACGTTTGGCGAGGCGCAGTATAGGGAGAGGATATTCGAGCACAACCTTAACCAAGTTCGACAGCGCAGAGTAATCACTGTTTTTCTCTAATTACGATGATTAATTAAGGAATAATCTCCTACTCCACTAATTATGTTAATTTTGATGCGAAACAGAGGTTTTTGGAGGAGAACTGTAGTGATCCCATCCGTCGCGCACACTCAGCTTCGGTGGGGGGAATGGTAATGAACGGTGGAGATGGACAGCATCATCAGTTCGGTTCAACGGATGGGATTATTCCGAATGGTGTGATAGAGAACTGGTTGCTTCCGGTTCCGGGTGACGACAGAGCTGATTCACAGTCCCAAATCTTCAACTTTCTTGATTCCAATGCCCTGTATGTGTATATCACATATCCCTCCATTTTCTTATCGGTATATGAACCATCAATTTTACGAGCGAAACATCGTAAGTATCCAGTGTCAACGAAATCGTAAAATTGATGATTCATATCCCTGATTTTGTCAGTTAACTCTTAAAATAGACTAAATTTTTTTGGGGTGTAATTGACGGATGGGTTCGAGTTGGGATCGTGTGAGGCTTTTCGGGATTAAGAGGTAGGAACTATCATCAATTTTACGAGCGAAACATCGTAGAACGAAATCGTATCCGTTTTATTGATGGTATGGTTATGTGACACAGGGATGGAAGAGGAGGGGGGAGCGTGGATGGCATGGGGATGACGATGATGATGATGCCGCAGCTTCATCACATGCAAAACGGCGATGAGTTGTTGTTAGGGGGCGGCGGTGGTGATCCGAATCACGTGATCGGTGGTAGCACCTCTTCCGGCGGTGGTAGGATTCCTCGGGTTGATGACGCGCATTGGACCCCACCTCAACATTACGCCCCACCCCAGCCACAACCAGGTATATTATACGTACGGGTGTTTTATTATTACTCCATCCGGTCCGGCCCACTATTTTCTAAGCCAAAACAAGAAGTACTCCTAAAAATTACTTGTACTACCTACTAATTGCTAGCTAGATTATCAATGACTTGCTCTAATTGTATCCGTAATGTTATTGGAAAATTATAGAGTTACACCATTTGTTTTAATTGAGAAATTTACACTACTCTATTTGTGAAATAGACGTTTCATACACTCTAACTTCATCATAATTTTTCTCACCCTAAATCGCTGAATTGGTGTTACCACAGTATTTCAGCTAAAATTGCGTTACGATGATATTATACGATGATGGTTAACTTTATTCTTCCTTTACCTAATTAAACTTTTCGAAAATCGTGCTTTAAAAATAAATAATTTTGAATTTTTTTTAAAATTATGACTCTTCCATCTTACACACCATATCATACCTAACTATAAAGTAAATGCACGTTTTATCATATTTAAAAAGTTTTATGACACAGAGGTAGTACTTTCCATTATTAATGAATTCAATGATTATTAGTATAATAAAGCTTGATGTACACCACTAACATAAAATTGTATTACACACGCACACATAAAATTATTGTTTGTGTGCCTGTAACCCAGTTATGTGCAAGTGATGTACCCAAGACAACCCTTATTAGTAGCTCTTGCCATCCATATGTAGTCGATTTTATTATTCCTGTGTTTTTTGTTGTTGAAAACTTGATAGGTGTAGACGATGACGTTTCGTTATTCCCATCGACAACATATCAAAGGGAACGAGCGATCCTAGAGGCATTCATTTCTCAGCTCACAACCCCACCGCTTACCCAGCCAGATGATCTTATCTGATGACGATGTTGATAACATTTATTTTCCGGCAGAGTATTATTAATCTCATATGTAGTAAAAGTAAATCGGCATTAATTCTTTCCTTTGACTGCATATTCAGTTGTTACATTATTCTCAAGATAACAAACGTCTCCAAAACTATGTATTATTCTGAAATGTTTCTCTGTACTAGTGTTTATTATGTTATTGGTGATAAATAGTTTTTAATTTAATTATAAATTGTTTCTAAGTTAAATAGTCTTTTGTGGAAGTAAAGGGCTTAAGTGATAGATAAGTTTGTTGAAAATATTAATAAATGGTGCGGGATAGTTTTGATAAATTATCTAGTCAAAATAGAAAACCTGACTTAAAAATAATTTTGTTAGACCTATTTTATTTCTCTAACTTATAAGTAACTTATAAGTCATCTTTTAAGAACAAAGAAATATGTCATCAGCTGATTTATAAATAAAACCAACTTATAAATAGTTTTGACTAGCTTCATATATATACTTTAATTACAAATTACAAATTTTAAAATTGTTGTGCACTTTAATTAAAAAATTTGAAAAAAATAAATACTTTGTATATATTTGGTTATAATATAAATTAAAGATGGCCTATATAAATACATCATCACCCTCTTACTCCATCTGTTACACTATTGTTATTCGGTACGAATCGACGAACTTCTTCTCATACTCTTTACCGAGTCATGATTTCTTTCAATACAATCGTCTTACTTCAAATAACATACAAAAGCGAGTCTCTTTGAAAATTATGTTATTTATAAATTGATAGAAAAATAAAGAGTACAAATATAAAGTATACATTATTTTATTGTACAATTTGGTTCACAAATTGAATTGTTTTAAAACTATATTAAAAATTTATGAATCATGATGTGACATAATATTATATTTTATGCAATAATCAATTAAAATATACTCAAAACTGATTGGATTATTTGGGACGGAGCCCAAAGGAAGTACTCCCTCCGTCCTTAAATAAAGTTCCGTTTTTGACTTTTTGAGGATTTAAGGGAGGGATATTTTTGTGTTGACTTTGCAAAAATACCCTTGATGTGATGTGTAAAAGTAAGATGTGATAGTTAGATTATTAGTAAAAAGGTATGATGTGATAGGTAGGGTATGAAAAAGTAATGGGTAAAAGAGGTTTTTTTAGGGGAAAAGAGAAGTTTATTTAGGGACAAAGAAAAAACGAAAGAGGAACTTTATTTAGGGACGGAGGGAGTATATCATTTGTATATGAAGTCTTGTTTATCATAACCATTGATTTTTTTATTTAATTTACCTTTTTTTCACACTTAAAATTGTGTGATGAGGATGGAGCGGTGTACATTTGGATAAATTAACCCCTAACATTTTTCTTCTTATTCTTTTTTTGATAGAACCTGACATTTTTCTTCTATTTACAATGAAAATGACTATACCGAAAATTGAATTTCACGGGATTGGAATCCCAATCCAGAAAACGTACACTTCTTTAAGACGAAATGGATTAGTGACTATAAGATACTCCGTACAAATCTTCAATCCTTCATTAGTCCTAGTACTTATGATAGGAGTACTATTACGCCTTTTGGAAATTGGCAACAAATCCTAAATCCTTGCGAGTAATTAAAATCTTTCAAAATCTTTTCATAAAGATTTTCATAAATCTAAGAAAATCTTTCTCTCAATAATTAATATTTTATCAAATAAACCACATTAACAGTAATTTCGAACTTTTGTTTGAATATATATATATATATATATATATATATATATATATATATATATATATATATATAATCAGAGACTTGTTAATCTAAATTTAAATATTTGTATTAAAAATTAATGTTTTTTTTAATAAAAAAGACTAATTTATTCTTTATCACAGTTATATATATATATATATATATATATATATATATATATATATATATATAATCAGAGACTTGTTAATCTAAATTTAAATATTTGTATTAAAAATTAATGTTTTTTTTATAAAAAAGACTAATTTATTCTTTATCACAGTTATTTCTTGCAAATATAAAAGGGCAAACAAAGTTCTATAATATAGATTAATAAAAAACACAAAATATGAGCAAAATATGTCATTATCTTCAAAATGGGCATGTCATATTTTAATCTTAAAATCAAATTATTGTACTATGAAAATGTGAAATACTAAATATTTTCAATTGATCGTCTAGTCATTTTTGAAGGGAACTTACTTCGTCGATGAGGCTCATCCCTTCAGAATGTGTTTTGTTATTAAATATAGAATTTATTGATATTTTGTTACAACAAAAAGAGGCGTTAGAAGGGACCAAACCTCAAAAGGACTTGGTTTTGTGTTTCCTATTTTAGTTTGATTCTTGTTTGAGAAGAAATAGAATCATAGTTAGAATAAAAGTTTGCTAATTTGTTTTACCCTCCTATAAAAAGAGAGTTGAATCTTTGTATTATATAAGTCAATTCAATACAGAAATATATTTTCTTATTCTATTATTTCTTCATGGTATCAGATCAAAGTTCTTGGTGATCTGACCAAAAATTTTCTATTTCCGTTCTTGGCGGGTGGCACTGCCATTAGCCGTTCGCCAGGCCGTCGTTCTTCCTCTAATCTATATTTCTTACCACCACCAAACCGACAATACCTAAAACCTAAACTCTACCTAGATTGAATCACAAGAATCACTACCATTCCATACTTTTTCTGCCCATCACCTTGTCATAGAAACAAATCCATATTAGTTTATGGGGATTAAAGACTCAAAGTGCCGCACCAATTGTCAAGGTCTTTTTTGACGCAAGTCACTCATGCTATCCTTAGATGAATGTCCTTCTCAATGAAGAATATGACTCATGGAGAAATCATCCAACAAGGGTTGTTGAGCAGAATGAGGATAATATTTTCAAGGCGATAATTATTTTAAAAATGGTGTTCAGGATGTTCGAAAAATATCGTTCTTCTTGTTCGTTTGATTTCGGTGAAGGTTCAAAAAGAATGATGTTCTTTTATTCGATTGATTATTCAGCGGATTCGAAAATAGTGACGTCTATATCGAAGAAGAAGAAAAATTATTTGTTGAAGTGTCGAGATGATACTTGGACAAAGATAATTTGATTATGTGTTATCCAAGTTGGCATTCGTAATTCCCGCGCTTCATCTTGATGGGGGTGTTAGGATAGAAAAAGGCGTAAGAAATAAAATTATGGTATGAATACAAGTTAACAAATTTGTTTTGCCCCTTATTATAAAAAGAGAATTGAATTTTTGTAATTTATAAGATAATTCAATACAAAAATAATTTTCCCAATTTTATTTTCTACATTTTCTAACCTTAATTTGAGATAAAATATGAATAATTTACATTGTTTCTTTCATTATATTCCATTCCAATTTTTGTCTTTCAGTCTAATTCCAAACTTTTAATACAGTATATATCCAAACAATGTGCGTACTCCGTAAGTTTTACTCGCCAAAGTTATCTTTGACCCAAAATATAAAATGAAAAAAAAACCTAACTCCAGAAACAGTTCTAACCCGTTTTCTCATTTTCCTTTTTCAAGAACAAATTTCGAAACGAACGAAACCCCAAAAAACGGCAGCGCGCAAAATTAAAATGTTCGAGCGAAAAACTCTCAGAAGCCACTGATTGTATGCATCCCCAAGAAATCCCCCAAATTTACTCCAACAATCCAGCAATTATCCGCTACTCTGCGAACCATATTACTGAGATTTCGAGCCTTCAGCAATGGCGGACAAGGAGAATTGCGTGAGGGTAACGCGCTTGGCGAAGAAGAGGGCTGCGGAATCGATGGCGACTGAACTGCAGCACCAGAGGAAGAAGAGGGTCGTTCTGGGCGAGATCAAGAACGACCCGAATTCGGTTCTGAACCGGGTTTTCGAGCATCCGAAACCCAAGTCCAAGCAGGTTAAGAGCAAGGTTTTGAAGGATGTACTGGGAAGGGCGAAGGAGAAGGTTAAAATCTCTGAGAATGAAACGGACGTGGACGCGAAATCCAATGACCCCCAGATGTGTGCCGCCTATGTCGCTGAGATTTATGAGTACATGCGCCAATTGGAGGTGAATGGTGAATCTTTTGATGTGGTTTCGATTTCAATGATTTGAATGTGTATGCATAAAATTGGGTTAATGGTATTTTTTTTAAATTTAGTTGCTTTATGTGAATGGTATGATACTATGATATGTCTCTCTCAATGATTAAAGAAAAGGGGAAAGACATTTTCTTGATCTTGACTGTTCTATGGGTTATATTAAATTTGTTTGAATTTCTATATTTAGGGTTTGGGATTAAGTAATTTTAGGTTTTTGCAACTCAGATGCAAGATGGAAGGAGACCTTTGCCTGACTATATCGAGAAGGTCCAAAGAGATATAAGTGCAAATATGAGAGGGATTCTGGTAGATTGGTTGGTTGAAGTTGCGGAGGAATACAAACTTCTTTCTGATACTCTCTATCTTGCTGCTGCGTATGTTGATCGGTTCTTGTCGATGAAAGCTATCACTCGTCAAAATCTTCAGCTTTTGGGTGTTTCTTCCATGCTTATTGCCGCGTAATCACACAGATTCATAGTTCAAATTAATCTTCTGATAGTCATGTACTTTTGTAGGATTTTTTTAAATGTAGATTATGATGGGTATTTCTGTTGGTCATTAACAGGAAGTACGAGGAGATTAGTCCCCCGCACGTTGAAGACTTCTGTTACATTACGGATAACACTTACAGCAAGGATGAAGTTGTGAAAATGGAGGCATATATACTCAAGTTCCTTAAGTTTGAAATGGGATGTCCGACTACCAAGACATTTCTTAGGTTTGAACCAGTTATTATTCTTCATTTTTTAAATTCAAACGTTTGTGCTATTATGCAACAATATAAGCCTTTTTGGCTGATACATGGTGTTATTATTTTTGCTCTTATGTAGGAGACTAACTCGTGTTGCTCAAGGACATTTTGAAGTAAGTTTTGCAGATTTCAATTGATTTGGATTTGGACTTTCCAAAATGGGTTTGTACCTGTACTGATGAATATGCCCGTCTTTGTTATTTGCAGACTCAAAATTTGCAGTTTGAGTTCTTGGGCTATTACTTAGCCGAGTTGAGCTTGTTGGACTATAGCTGCCTTCAATTCTTACCTTCTTTGATAGCTGCTGCAGTTACATTCCTTTCAAAATTCACTCTTGAACCTACCCTGCATCCCTGGGCAAGTATATTGTCTTAATTGCCTTGCACATTTCTAGGGCACATTGCTTATTTAGACAGACAATGGTGTTGTGGCTAGGGTCATTCTCACACTTGGTCTCATTATTCTTTCTTCTTTTGCCCAATTTGAGTACTTTTGGTTCCAAAAATCATAATGTCCCTGAATTGTATCATGCTCAGATCATGTTCTCCTTAAATTGGCCTTTTTTGTATTAAATGTATATTCATTTTGCATCAAAAGCAGACCACTCTTATGTTTACCTGATTTCATTTGACAATAAAAAACAAAATGCGTATAAATTCATTTTTTTAAAGACAACAATAATGAACAAACATTCCATACAAAATGAAATTGAGATTGCATTTTGATTGTTTCATTCCTAAAGTCCACACATTAGGCAAAAATAATGAACTCCACGACCATATATGGGAATGGTCTTTGCTGCATGACCAAAAATGTAATTTCCGATATAGCTCTAATTTAGTTTTTTGTGTATTACAGAATCAAGCACTCAAAAAATATGCAGGATATAAAGCATCTGATTTGAAAGATTGTGTTCTGATCATACATGACTTGCAATTAAGTAGAAGGGGATGCTTCTTGACAGCAATAAGGGAAAAATACAAGCAGCATAAGGTGTGTTGTCAATAAAAAAATTCTTATTCTGTGCAAAGTCATTTGTTTTCTTTGCGTGCGACATTGTTATTCATATGATCTATGGGGTGTTATGTTACAGTTCAAATGCGTATCAATGCTCTCATCTCAACCCGAGATACCCAATTCTTATTTTGAAGATTCGAAAGTAGGAGTGTGAATACTTAAGGAAGTCCGCCCTTGGGTTGGAGTTTGATGTAATGCCAAGTTAGGCGATTCTACGTATAGGGTTTTATGGTGTGGTTTCTTAGATATATGACCATATTGTTTCTCACATTGTGTATAACACTTGACAATATTGCCAATTCTTTTTGTAATATGAAGGTGATTATATATGCCATATTCCATATAGTATTCACCTTTATTTTTTTATTTTTTGTATTCATCTTTATTTTGTGTGTTGGATGGTATGGTACATCAAAATTGTGGGCACAATAAGTGAAAAACAATTGGAAGGAAAAAAGTTTGAATGTGTACACTGAAACTTTTAATACTGCAGGTCCTAGGATCTGTATTGATTTGTTTAAATGTCATTTACTTGTTTCTTTCCAATTATTTCATTTTCTTTTTTTTAAATTCATTTTTTTTTATAGAAAAAAGAGACTTTTCTTAATTCATTTTTTTAATTCATGTCTTTGTTTTGTCTTGTCATGATTGTTTTCTACTCATTTTATAAAAAAAAAGAATGAGAAAAAGGTTGAGAAATAGTAAGCATGTTCCAGAGTCTCAGTAGACAAAGCATGCTCAAACTTTTTCAATTCTCTAGAGAAAAAGGGGGAATTATTAGTCAAAATAATTTTGAAAATGGAACTCGAGTGTCTTGTATTGCCTTATTAAATTTGTCAATAAAGGTGACTTCATGTTTGGGAGTGAAAGCAAAGCAATTAAAACGATGGAAATATTCTTTTAAGGCATAAAGTGCACAGAATTACACTTAATGACTCTACTTTTGAGTTTAAAACTGTTCATAGAAAAGCTTCTATACAAAGTGTTAACGTTCAAGGCATCTTTGGGAATAAGCTGCTGGTTATTAATTATTGTTAAGGCATGTTTGGGAATAAGCAGCTGTTTGTGTGGTTATTGTTTTGAATAATAGCCGCTGGCTATTAATTATTGTTAACGTTTTGAATAAATGTTTGGTGGTGTATATTAAGATGTTGGATAGTATTTCCGAAGCTATTGCAAAAAAATTCTAAAATTAGTTGGATTCTATTTAATAAAAAAGAAAAATAAAAAGTCTCTTCTACTTCAAAACCACAAAATGTTTAAATCTAAGTAAATACTCAATACTATTTTCATTACATGCAAATTCTATATACAACACCAGTCTTAGAATATAGTCTATCTTGTTTGATTATTTTCGAGTTAAACTGAATGACCGTATCTTTGATTATTCATTAAATAAGTACGGAGTATTACATCATATAGTACTACAATGAAGTAATTTTTTTGATTTTTTTGCAAAAAAAATTACGAAATCATTTTTTTATATCATATGCAGTGACATTTGGGTGAGTATATATTTGATAAATAAATAATCATAGCTCATTTCGTTTGATCAAAAAATCAAAGTAACTTAGAATTATTGTGTTTGGGAACAACTAACATTTCCAATTAACATTATTAGTATTTTACAAAAAAATTTTAAAAATGCTTAAATCTAATTAGGAAAGTGTTTGGAAATGTAGTGCAACTAAAAGTTAACCTTCTGCTTAGGATGATCGATGATTTAGTGTATTTGGCATGTCAGCTTTTGTTTTTTGTCATCATCAGTTTACATATAAAATTCAACTTTAGAGAAGTATATATGTGTGAGATATTTTTTGTTTTAATTTTTTAGTTTGATTAGAGTGAAAATAATTGTCACACTACTTATAAATCAATAAACTAAAGGTTGAATCTATTGGCAAAGTATGTAACACATACAAAAATTCATGGACACTCACCAAAAACAAATCATGAAATGTGCCAAAGAGAATGGCCATAGGGGGAACAGACCAAAAAACACCCACCCACTGCAAAGGTAATCATAGAATAATACACTCTTAAGTAGACTTTGACACACACACCAACCCAATAAGGCAATAACGCGCTACATATGTAAGTATGTTTGTTTGCCGGGTTTATTGATTTGGTACTCTCTTTTGTTACCTTCTTTTTGGTTGCCGGTCTTTGTACCGACACTGCCCGGGGCATGTGCACCGCCCCAATATCATACAGTATATTTGTTGTCCAAACCAATGAAGAACTTGTAAATAATAAAAACCCCAGTTTTATAAATTTGTTCATCAAGGCCTTTGAAGTTTGGAGAACATCTATTGATCATCATATTGTGTAATTAATGTTAAAATGGATGCTGTTTCTGTGGTTGCTGCTCTCTGCACAATATGGCGCCGCAATGCGTGTTCTTGACCGCACCATCACCACCACCACCCCCATCTCTCGTCATCATGTGCACAAAATGACAATGAAGCAGAGGTGGCAGCCACCGGAGTCATCTCCGGATAACGCCACTCCGTCGGCGGCGTCGTTCTTGGCAAGCAAGAGGAAAGTCCCCCGCGGTTCTAACCGTTTTCATAACCGCCGGTGAATAAACACAAAAAGCACACATAGTACGTTCATGCTTTGTTTAGCTTCTTTTTTGTTCTAATTGGTTATCATTGAGCGTGGAATTGTTTAAATATATTGTACTTCTATATATACACAGAGCATATTGCTTCCTTCATCCTTCTTTGTTATGCTAATTTTGACTCAGAGAATCTCCAATACAATATTTTGGTCATCAATATCTTTGTTTCTATATAAAAAATAATTCCTTCGTCCCAAAAAGTTTTACACATTTTGACTAAAGTAGAAATTAAAGGAGGAATAATTTTGTGTTGACTTTCCAAAAATAACCTTAATTTGATGTGTAAAAGTAGGATGTGATGTGTAGATTATAAGGAAAAAGGTATGATGTGATAGGTAGGGTTTGAAAAAATAAGGGGTAAAAGTGGTTTTTTAATAGAAATGGGTAGGAAATTGTGGGACAAATTTTTTTTGAAAGGTGTAAATCTTTTTTGGACGGATGGAGTATTCCTTTTATCTCAGTGTATTTGTATAGTTTAATTTTTTTGAATCAAATAGAATGAACTTTGAGATTCAATAAAAAATGTTACGTTGTATGTTATGATGAAGTATATATTACTCTATAGTATAAAATGCTTTTATTATATTTATGTAGTTGAGAACTTTTACAATTTTCTTTTATTTTACTAATATATTATACAACTTGAGAATAATTGAATCTCATAGTTATCTAATTTTATTCAAAAAAGTTAAATTGAAAAAAATATACTCTAGACGAAGGTAGTATTACGAGGTACTCTGTACACTGAGACGAAAGTAGTATTTTGAGGCCCAACAAAAAATATCCTAATCTTAGTCAAAATGCTACTGATACGTATCTGTCGATAATAAAAACGGGAAGCCTGAAAACATTTAACAAGATAATGACTACTATATTAAGAACATACAAGCGCGAATATTCATTGAACATACAAGTGTTACTTGCAAATATGAGACATTTCACCACGTGACAATATGCGAATAGCTCTGACAGCCCATTTGTAATTGTTATCATCTGCCCACAACATGTAAAACATTTTTCGTAGATTTCCTCATTTTATATTCAAAATAATTGTTAATAGTCAACATTTTAAAGTGGTAATCCGCACTTTCTTGCTCTCAAATATTGCATGAAGGACTATTTGAGTAGGGTGCAAATAGGATAAAATATCAAATTCAGGGGACATAAATAGTTCTTCATCAGAGGACATTGGAAAACTAATACAAAATTCATTGGGATTGACATCCCTCAAAGGAGGGTGAAAAACATTTTTGTGATCTGAATTCTATATATTAAATGGCATCATCAATGATGAGGGAGAACTTGTAGACATTGTTGTGAGAAGTGAAGGATGAGATTTAGCAAGTAATAACATACAATTATTTAGTTGATTGCCATTTGCCACCTACAATATTCGTGATAGACATCAAATTATTGCCACCTTAAACCAAAATTGGTCGTCCTTCCATATTAGAGGAAATTGATGAGGAAGAAATTGAAGGCATTGTAGACTAAGGCGAAAGCAAAGATTCAATCATTAATGAACCGGGTTTTGATTTCACATTAAGGGGCTGTTTGACAACTTCTGAATAGGTAAGTGCTGAACCAGTAAGAGGTCTGAACCATTAAGTGCTGAACCAGTAAGAGGTCTGAATCATTAAGAGCTAGTATATTGCTTAACTATTCAGAGGCAAATGTCTGATCAATTCAGATAAGATGTCTTAACCATTCAGACTCTGTATAATACTTAACCATTCAGAGGCAAATCTCTTAACCATTCAGACATCTGAACCATTAAGAGGCTGAAACAAACAGTCTGAACCTATATGTGCTGAACCATTCAGACATCTGAATCATTAAGAGGCTGAAACAAACAGCCCCTAAGCAAATTGGGGAATTGACTATATAACGACAACATTAGAGAGGCAGTGTAAAAGGACTTGGTTGCAAGTAAAATTGAAAATTAGAATCATCATCTATCACAATAAAGGGAGGGTAAACTCACAACAAGTACGAAATTCGAAGAATATTTTACACACAATCCTCACCAATCGCAACATGAATTGTGTTACTTAGGTCTGCTAATAAAATATGTGAAGTGAGGAAGAACTCACATATATCTTTACAATGGAAGACAAAATCATCATTCCATTGGCCATCTACATTCAATAAAAAATGATAAGAATGTAAATTATGATGATCCAACATCAAAATGGTCGATTTGAAAAACCAATAAGAATTATCGATTGTTATATCGATTTGAAAAGTGATGATCAGATCAAGGAGCCCGGGCGCAAAAATAAGGAATAAATGGCCGATTTGATTTACGCATGGGCATGAGAGGCTAAAAAGGGAAACTCAACTGCAAAACTAGTACTCCTTTGATTTTTTTGAGTCAAGCTGGATGAATTTTGGGCTTTAATTAATTAAAAACTATAAGATATATTTGTATAAAAATATATTTATTAGATTTATCGTGTTGAAAACTTTAAAAATTCTATTTCATTATACTAACAGGTAGTATAGATGATCGTTTGTACCTGAAATTCAAAATTTATTCAATTTGACTAAAAAAATCAAACTAAACAAATAAACTAAGAAGAAAAATACATACTAATGGTACAAAAGATACTTCTTCTATCTAGAAATAGATTATAATATTTTTTTTATCTATCTTCGATAACTTTAGTTTATTTATATATTTTTGATAGTTTTTTGATAAGATAAAATAAAATATTTTTTTCTTACTTCACATATTTGGGGCAAGTCCGCACTGACGAAGGCAAAATTGACTTCCTATAATCATCTCGTTTGCTCTCCTCTTTGCCCAATTTCGAGAATGGCCGATAAAGTGGAAGAGCAACCACACGCAGGAGCAGCCACCAACGCCTCCACAATGTCTGAGACCGAAGCTCCCCAGGGGGCTCAGGAAAACCCTGCTCCGGAATCTCCGAAGAAACCCGACACGTTCTCCTTCAGCATCTGGCCGCCGAATGAGAAAACCCGCGACGCCGTCGTCAAGCGCCTCATCGAGACGCTATCGGCGCCGTCCATTCTGTCCAAGCGCTACGGAACCATTCCCGATGAAGAGGCTTCCGAGATCGCGAAGCGGATCGAAGAAGAGGCCTTCAATGTCGCCGGGGGGTCCGCCGGCGTTCGCGATGGCGATGACGGTATCGAGACCCTCCAGGTCTACTCCAAGGAGGTCAGCAAGCGCATGCTTGACACCGTCAAATCCAGATCCACCACTCCGCTGCCGCCCCAGGAGAGTAAACCATCGGAAGAGAGTGGCGGCCCTCTCGAGGCTCCTCCCCCTGCTACCGGCGAGGAGATCCCGGCGGCTGAGACCTAATCCGGAAATGCACAATGAGGTTCCTAGGGATTTAATATTTATATATAATATCAATTAGTCTGATAATTTGAGATCAAATTGTGTTATCCTTTGGTTTTTGAACTCCATATAACATCAGATCTTATTAAACTCATCTCTCTATCTCAAATTCTTGTGTTTGTTTTATGCAGTATTTGTCTTTTCATATTTGTCTCTCTATGCAGATGTGCACATTTGAAGGTTAAATTCTTCATATATTGTTTCATATGTGCCATATCATCCCCAATCATAACCATTGAAATTACATAGTTGCATTTGCAATTTCCAGATTTCACTGACATTGCACATTTTTTTGGTATGAAAAAAATGAAAGAAAACTATTTTCTATTCTTTTTCAGCCTAATTTCTTGAACCAAACATTGTGTAAGAAGGAATGTGTAGTGAATTTTGGCTTGCCAAGTTTGGGGATTGTGAAATGTGCTTCTGTGGTTAACTGAGATTATGATTTATGAAAGCTTTCTTTCATCTCTTGTTCAGTTGTTCATGTCCATTTTGCTCTAAAACCAAATTTGATATGGAAAGGCAAAAGGTTTTTGTCCCTCTTCTCTAGTTTTAGAAAATACATTGTAGTTAATAGAATCATGAAAGCATTTACACTTTTCTGTTTTTCACTACCTGCAACCCACCATAGTTCTTGACTTCTTGTGACAAGCAAACACTGGTTTACTTTATACGACGAAAGCTATCGGCATTTTTACCATTTGTAGCCACTAGCCATTGACAATCGTTGATAACCATCACTAACGCACTGCTGTTGTTAGTGTTGTCATCCATTGATGCTGTGGACAAACTCCATCCTTAAACACTGTCATTGACATCACTGGTGACCATCGACAACCAACTATGGTCAAACGTCACCATTGTTGCTGATTGTTGTCGGCGCAACCAATGACTATTGACATTGTCAACCCACTTTTACAGTTGCCAATCTTCGTTGTCATTGTCAACCACCATCGTAGACCATGCTTTCTACTGGTTTGATTGTTTTTTAAACCTTAAGTTGAACTACTCAACTACCCCTTGTTTGATTGCCTTTGGTCAATTTTGGTTTCGGTGTTCCACAGTGTTTCCAGTTAATAATTTTTCAGCATGAGGGTGTGTTTGGTTCGTGAAATGGAAGGGAAAATAAGCCTCCCTATGTTCGGTCTCAAACTTCGGGGGCGAGGGGACCTAAAATATGTCTTCCATTCCCTTCGCTCCCCATATATTGGTTCTCTCCAAATACGGGTTTTAGGAGTCAGTCAAAAAAATTGTGACTCAATAATTTTACTTCTTCTGTTTCATTTTAAGTTGTGTGTTATTGTTTACCATTTTATCATTTGAGTAAAAAAAGTGGGTAACGAAAGTGATTAAAGTTTGACTAAATAGATAACTTAAATTGGGACGAAGGATGTAGTAAATTAATCATTACATCTCTTCCCTCCTTTTTGTTTTATATAACCAAATAGATTCATTTCTTTTTTTCCTTCCCATCTATTCTTCTTGATTCCTATCCATCCCCTCCCACCAAAGTGGCAGTGTACACATGTGCTGTACAAATTTGGGTACACTTCTTGGTATAGAAGTAGTTTTATTCTATAAGTTGTATTCCGTTTGCCTAATCTGCATTCTTTGAAGTTCTTGTCTTATTTGATTAGATATGAATTGATTAGATTTGGTCTGATCTGATTGTAGTTATATTTAAAACTATTTCTGATCTAATTGGACCTGATCTAGTCTGATTTTACCTGATTTTTACAAGAATATGTAGTAAGCAGAACAAATAAATTGGACGGAACAAACCCTGGATATATTTTACTTAAATGTAGTGAAAAAAAGTTGAAGTTGTACGTACTTCCATTTTCTAATTTCTGAACAATCATAAAGTGTTCAAAATCGAGTTTTCACTAGGTTAGCCTCTTTTTGGATGATGCAACAGTCCCTCGATGCACATTGCCACCTTCTTGGTTTTGGAATGCCGACCACCACCTCACCGTCAGACCGGAGAGAGAAAAGAGAGGTGAGTGTGGGTGGGTGGGTGGGGAACTTCTTGAAGGAGATAATGAAGAAGAAAAGGGGATAAGAAAGAGAGAAGAAGAAGAAGAAGAAGAAGATCGGGGTGAATGAGATGGGAATGTCGAGCTCACTGACTCCCGATCGGCGGGGGTAGTGTTGCCCGGTTGGCTATGATGGCACATGGGCCTTCCCGATGGCCACACCCCACGGTCTTATGATGCACGATGGCATCGTTGTATACAAGTCTAAGCAAAGTGATGTCAATGCCGCTCATCGTGAGATTGCATTTCATGCGTGCCAAATTAAGTTGTTTGTTTAATATTAATATGATCACAGTATTCATTTACTTTCTTTTTTCTTGATTGTTTGATACGGAGTGAAATAATAGTAACGTAACCTCTTTTTTAGTAGGATTTTTTATGTCATTTTAAAATATATATATAATAATTTTTATTTTTAAATTCCACCTCAATTTTTAAAATAAATTATTTTCAAAATAGTGTCACTTGAACATTGTAAATTGAAATAACAAATAAAATTAGAATTGAATGAGCAATAATTACGCTCATAATGACTTTTATATACCCCCACTAACTTCATACTCCGTATGTCACAAAAAAAAATCACACTTTCATGGCGCTAATCCAAAAAAATATTTTTTTAAACAAAAGAAAATATGGCTTAAAAAATGTGTCTTCTTAGGAAGTCATATTACTTTATTGAGTATGATGGTGTAAATTACCTAACTGGGTAAACAGTACTAGACCGGGTCTAGAATTATTACCAGCTTCGGGAAAATAATAAGTAAAAATACTCAAAATAACCGGGAGGACTGTAGGTGGAAACACTTGTAGCCGAATTAATATTTCGAATATAGTAGAGTGCACGGAAGCTTTTCCACGGGAGTTTTGTGAGAAGAAATCGGATCCCCTCCTTTGAGGGTTACACGGGTATTCATAGTAAGCTAGAGGAGACAAGGCGCCGCACATCCACGTCAGGCACGTTCTTGGGTGGTGCGAGTTGATTGCCTCTGTCTTCTAGTAACCTTGTCATCTAGCTAGAAATGTGACTCCTTTGTCATTTAATGTGTTGAATTGATTGTCCGAATATCTCCAATGATTATCCATTGAATTTGGCCGCTACAGTCCAATTTTCTTTAAATTTTTCATTGCCGACACTTTCCAACCCTAGAAATCATACCGGGTGATTCCCGAGGAATGAGTTTACTGAAATTGGGTACGAATGAAGGATAAAGTAATTTGCCCGATAGACTTTCCGAAGTGTACCGGTCAAACCTTTGGTCAACCAATTACCCTTTTACTGTTGTTTTAGTCCTCCCATTCCGAAAAATCAAGCTTGTCCGGTTGGATATTTGAACATCTTCTTTGACCGGTTCTAGGTGGAATACACCCATCAGAGTAAATTCATAAAAGGTCTCTAGTTATAAGTCGTTTTACATATTTACTCCATACATATCAAATATCTATAATTTAGTCCCCAATTATTATATTATTTTCCATAAAGAGTCTTTTGTTAACAATTCTGTTAAGAACATGGATACAATTGTATATTCACACTTCTCTTTCTTTAAATTAGCTTCCTCCCTTCTTTCGTACTCATTCTCATACTCGTCACTAAGTTTGAAGTCCTAAATCCAAAATGAAAACGATCACTCGTCTCTCAATTGTTTATCTTCCTGTGGAACCCAAAATCGAAACCAATAACCTTCATGGATGAATTTTATAGGTTAGTCTCAGGAAATTACAATGAAAACAAAACTTAAAACTCATTCATGAGGTTGCTCATTTCAGTTTTGGATTCCACCAGGAAGACGAACAATTGAGAGAGGAAGGATGATTTCGGTTTTGGGTTCAAAGCTTCAAATTGAGCGGCGGGTTTGGAAAATGTATGCAAGAGGAGAAAGGAAGCTTAATTGAGGAAAGAGAGGAGCGTGAATTTACTATTTTATCCACGGTTTAACAAAAGTGTTAACAAAAGACTATTGTGGAAAATAATAAGTAATAATTAGGAATTAAATTATTGATATTTGATATGTATGGACTAAATATGTAAAACGAATTATACTTAGGAATCTTTTATGAAATTTACTCTACTTTATTTACATATATTTATAAACACCAAACAATATTGGACTTTGTAAATGTGTTTAATAAGAAGACGTCATGACAAAATTGATTATTGAAATTGACATTGTTCATGTGTCATTATCAATTCTCATGCATTGTTTGGTGAGGAATATATGTTTGAGAATACATTGTTTTCTCTCCTTTGAATTTCAAAAATGTTTCAAGAGATTTAGATATTTTTTTCTCTAGGGATACAATTCTTTGAAACATTTATGAAATTAATTTTAGAGAATTAAGAACCTCTTTTTTTTTAACAGCTCAAAGGGAAATAAATAATGTGCGCTCTTCTCATCTCCACTTCCGTCTCTGTATATCTCTGCCAAATTATGCTCCGGCGGAAGTAAAACCAATCTGATTTCAGAACCCAAAACGGTGCACCGCCGCAATCTGAATTGCTCCGCCCTTCTCCTCCATACAGGGCAGCCGGACATTGTCGGACATGAAATTCCTCACTTCTTTCCGTATCATCTCCTGCAACCCCGCCAAAAATTCCGGACTGAACGGAGTACATTCCCCCGCCGTTTCGGATTCGGGCGGCAGCGCGGACTGCAGAAGAGAAACAGGCGGATTTTGATCGGGTCGGGTTACCGGATCAACGGGTTTATCATTCGACCCGGGTAGAGAAAGACAGAGGGATGTGGCCGGATCGGCCGTTTCGGCCCGCCGGGAAGATCTCTTCGGCGGGGTGTCGCAGAGCAACCCCTCCGATTTGCGCTTCAGGGTGGCGTTCCAGTGGTTCTTGATGGCGTTATCGGTCCGGCCGTGGAGCAACCGGGCGATGGTGGCCCACTTGTTGCCGAACCTGGAATGCGCGCGGACTATAGTCGCGTCCTCCTCCGCCGTGAACGGCCGGTGCTCCACCTGGGGAGACAGCTGGTTGCACCACCGGAGCCGGCAGGACTTGCCGGACCGACCCGGAATAGATTTACCGATGAGGGACCAGTTCCGGGGGCCGTGCTTCTCCACCAGCCTCTGCAACCGCTTGTCCTCATCGGGGCTCCATGGACCCTTGACCCGATCCATATCCTCCATGAAGAAACAGACCCAGAAATGGAAGGGGGGGGGGGGTATATGACGGGGAAGACGGCGGGGTTGACAGTTACGAGCACAGTTGGCAGGGGACACGCGTCGGGCTGTGAGATCCGGTGGGAGGACAGCTATGAGTCACTCGTTACTGAAATCGCGGGGATTCCGAATGGAAGTTTGGATTTGGAAGGAAGGACTAAGCCGGAAAGAAGAAAAAAAAGAAAAGAAAAGAAATCGGAAATTCAAAAACCGCCGACCGTTTGGAAGTTGGAGATGGAGTTGGTGGTTGACACTGGGCCATCCAGCCTGGACAGCATATTCATTCATTCTCTACCCGGTCACAGTTATGTTCACGTCCGGCGTAGTGCTCGGAAAATTCGGTTACTGCTTGTTGTGATTGTTGCCAGCATTGGGTAATAGCATGTCGAGAAATACGAGTTCTTTTTTTATCTTCAATGAAGACGATTCTATTTTTTGAATGAATTATAAAGAGAATGAAAATATATTGTGTATTTTTTTAAAATAAGAGATATTCATAGTTGAAAAGATATTCTTTTTGAAAAAATTTGGCCAACGGCCAAGAATTAGAATGTTTGGGGGGGGGGGGGGGGGGNATTTAACACAAATGTGTTAACGCCCGTTTGGCAACGGAAGGACGGTGTTTAATGCCCAGATGATGTTAAAAACGTGTTTAATGCACATGACGTTATGCCCATTATCAGTGCCCTTACAACACCTCTATTAGATTTTTAAATTGTGTTAAAAGTAATGGATGAATATAATAAATTGTTTAATTGATTATGAATGATTAATTTGATGAAAAGAGATGGGTAAATTTTCATTGCATTGGAAACATTGAAATGTAGGGTTTATTAATCTTAATATTTATTAAAAATATTGAATTTGTAATATCTAATTTCCAAATATTTAAAAAATTTATTTCAAAAAAATATTGATTTTTTAATATTTATTTTCGGAATATTAAAATATTTTATTCAATAAAAATATTATTTTAATTTTGTACTCTAATTTTATTCCTCCAACTATAAATTGATACGGAGTATAATATTTAAATATTTAAAATAATACTTTTCATTATATTTTTGTCTAAAATAAAAATAAAATAGCATAAAGTGAGACACATGAATAACTAATTAAATGGGGGAGCAGAAGAAATGTGTTTGGACTTCGGAGTAATAGTTTAAAAAATAACGCATTAAAAAATGGATGGTGTAGATGGATGAATTTTGATATATTTTGTATCCCAAAGACATGCATCGATATTTTGTGCTAGTATAATGGTAGTGTGATTGTTTACATTTGAAAAAATGTCAATTCAAATTTTTTAAAGTGAACTAACATTTTTTGTCAGTGTACACCATTAAATATTGTAATATTTTTTAAAATACAATTTGATGTATATTTTTTGATGTACTCCTAGCATAGTTGTTACTCCCTCCGTCCCCCTAAGATCTTCTCGTTTTGATTTTTTTGCGGTTTTTAAGAGAGCTAGCTGCCCACTTATGCCACTCATGGGCCTGCCACAATTTTACTACAATTGGGCTTATTAGGCGGGCAAATAAACTACTCATCAAGCTAATATTCAAGCCTTCTAATTTATGTGTGATGTGTCGTTACCAAGAAATAACTCAAGCCCTCTAATTAGGGTTACAATGAAGTGAATAAAATGGTTCCTAGTCCAACAATAGTAATGTAAGAAGATCAATGAAGTTTTATTTGGGTCTCAAATGGGTGGTAGAAGCAATCCATTATTGTGGTGTTTTTGTTAGATGAAGACCCTATTTACCACAAAATTAAAGTTTTATGAAGTTTTATGTTGTGAAAGGAGTATCTACCGATATTATCAAATTTTAGTACTTTTAAAATTGAATACATTATTAAAATTTTATGTAAAATAATTTCATCAAAAACACGAACATCATAAGAATTTTTATTTCTAAACAAGCCAGAACTTTGATTAATCTCATTCCAAGTTATTATCAAGACTCCAGACTTGTATATAATTACTCCATCTGTCTCACAATAAGGCTCTTGTTTGATTTATTATATTTAACTGAAATTTTTCTAAATCAATATAAGTAGAAAAAATTACATAGAACTAAAAAAATAATACACTCATATTTAAAAAGTTACATCAAAAGTTATATGTATATGAAATATAAGTGACACCAATCTTATCTTACTTTAACACATGAACAATAACTAGAAATATTATTTTGGCACACGTGAAATATGTACATAGATGTTGAGGTACAAACCAATCCCACACAGGAGGATTAGAAGAAAGAGAATCAACATTTATATTGTTACCCCAATCTCATTAGTGTGAATCCTTTTGGGAGATGTCCAAAAATAAATTCGTGAGGGTTAGACCTAGAACGGACAATACCATACTATTGCGCGGGGATGGGAGAAGACATGTACGGTTCCAACATATGGTATCCGAGCTCAGGTTTAGCGTGGCGGACTGCGTTGTGCAACGGACTGGTGGTCTGCGGCATATCTTGTGCCGAAAGTCCCTCGAACATGAGGAGGTCGGGTGGCATGTCCTGTAAGTTTATAACAGTAAAGATGGTGTGTAGAAAAAAACGAGAGATGTCTAAAAATAAATCCGTCACGAAACTATGTGGTCTTTGTTTGTGAGGAGGCTTTTTAAAGTTATCTAAAAATAAATTTACGAAAATTTGATTGAAAACCGATAATAACATATTAATACGGAATTGGGAGAGGACGTGCATGGTCCCAACAATACCACCCTAGAAATTGGGCTTCAATCTTTTTTAGATAAACCGACAAAACAATTTCTCTCACTATAATTGTCAAGATTATTAATTGCAATTCACCTCTAAACATAATTGGCCGTGGAATATACTCCCACATTTTTCAACATTATATTATTTTAAAATTAGTATATAAAACATTTTAAAAAAATTATTCCCTTCGTCCAAAAATTAGCTTTCCATTCACTATTCACAAGGTTAAATTTTATTCATTTTGTTGGCATATTTTTATCACTAATTTGATAAAATAATCATGTCACATCTAGCTTTGTAGATCTTTCGATATAGTTTTTTAATATTTAATTTTTATTTTTGAATTTTACACTATTTTTTATATAAAATGATTTAAAAATAAATTCAATCAAAAATCGTAACGCACAACGAGAAGTTTATTTGTGAACGGAGGATTGCATTGAAAGTTTTACTAAAAAAAGAAAAGTTTAAAAAAAAATTATGGAGTACAATCTAATTTGATAGGGAGTAATTCTAGAGGGAGTGAAAGAACGAATAGCGAAAGGAATCCGTTCATCCTCTACCATTCCTGTCGGACAGGGGTGGGGCTCCTAGGGCGGGCGATTCCACCATTTTGAACCGGCGAAAGGAATCAGTTCAAATGGGAATTTGCCATAGTGAACTTCCAAAAGCAAATAAGTAATTCCAAACTAAACACACATTTCAAAACTTTGGTCATGTTGGGCCTCCTTCTCAGCATCTTCCTTATGGTCTCCGCCGCCGCCGCCGCCACCCAAGCAGATCCATCCGTTAACGGCGGCGGCCACCCAACCACCGTCTTCCTTCTCGCCGGGCAGAGCAACATGGCCGGCCGCGGAGGCGTCGTCCACGGCGCCTGGGACGGCCACGTCCCCCCTGAATGCCAGCCCAGCCCATTGATTCTCAGGCTCAACACGGCCAATATCTGGGAGCCGGCCAGAGAACCGCTCCACTCCGGCATAGACCTGAACCGGACGGTCGGAATCGGGCCCGGAATGTCATTCGCCCACACAGTACTGAGGAAGGACCCGAGCGTCAGGGTGATTGGGTTGGTCCCCTGCGCCGTCGGTGGGACGGACATAAGGAAGTGGGCCCGCGGAGGATTCCTCTACTCCCGGTTGATTCATAGAAGCGCGGCGGCGGCGCGTGGGGGAGCGAGGATTCGGGGTCTTCTTTGGTATCAAGGGGAGAGTGACACAGTGAATCTTGAGGATGCCAGAGAGTACAGAGATAGACTGAGGAAGTTCTTCATTGACGTCCGCAGTGATCTTCAGTTGCCAGCTCTTCCCATCATTCAGGTAAGAATCAATCTCAATTAGTAAAAGGGATATGCTACGATACACCAAAAAGTGTACCCCAAATGTACATCACCCTCTTACTAACCATTCATTTTATTTTGTTTTTATTTTTAAATTTTTTTGAAAATTTCTTGCCTTTTTTGTGTGGTGATGGAGGGGGTGGGGATGTTTGGGGTACACTTTTGGTGTACCCCTAACATTTTCCTTAGTAAAAACCTTAGATTTTAAACCTATGATCTATAGAGTATAATAAAAAAAAGAAACCCTAAAATAACACCAATTACTTATACATCAATTGTATACAACAATTTATTTGAGGTATCTATTGTGCTTAATTTGTAAAAATGACGATTTCCCCTTATCCATCCCCCAAAATCCTCCACTCCAACCCCCTTCCGCCACGCCCCCGCCCCCTAGGGTAGGGAGAAGGCGGGAGCAATATGTTAATACGTACCCCTCCTGCCCCGCCCCGCCCCGCCCCCTAAGGTAGGGAGGAGTGGAGAGTTTATGGAAAGAATAAGGGGTACGTATTAACATATTGCTCCCGTAAATAACCAAACAAATTAGTGTAAACCAATGAAATCAGTAAGACTGGTATAAGTCCAATTCTAACGCATTAAAAAATATATATCCTATGTATATTAGAAAAAATAATATTTGAAAATAATTCTCAAAATAAATTTTAATGCGTATGGGCCAGGCCTGTAATTTCTCGTTGGATTCATATAAGTCCAATTCTTTGCTTACTTGGTTCATCAGAGTTGGACGAGTTCAGTCTTATCTCTTTCATTAACATACGTGGGTCCGAGGTACCAAGAAAATGGGAAGAGAAGGTAATTAAATTAAATTTTAAAAGGCTTGGCACAATTTTAAAAGGTATTCTAAAATCTAAACAAATAAAATAGGGCCCAAAATGTAAATTTAGGACAGAGCCAATATTATTTTTTCAATTTTCGGGGCCGGCCCTGTTAAATTTATACACCCAAAGTTTAACGCACCAAAAAAGCCAAGAAGGGATTTTTACTTTTTTTTATACTAGCATCGTTATTATATTTGTCATTAATTATTATTTAATTAAGAGTTTAATTCATAATGAAAAAAAATTCCTTGTATATACCTTAAGAAATTCCAAGGATAAAAATAATATTCTTACATAGTAGATTATTGATAAGGTGGAACGGATTAAATGATATTAAAACATTATTATTACTCCCTCCGTCCGGATTTTAAATTCCCAATCTACGCTTTTTTTTTGTTCGGAAATAAAGTTCTCAGTCTACATTTTCATACCCAATCTTCCTAAATTACCCCTTCCTCCTCATCCTATCTCCTCCTCCTTGTTTTTAGTGAAATTTGCACTAAATAGGACTAAAACATAAAGACTTTCTTAATTTAGGACTTGAACTTTTTTATTCCTTAAATAGGACTTAATAATGTTTTCGTGGAAGAAATAATGCCCAGTAATGATGGACATTTACTTGAATAATGACTAATTAATAATGACCAATAGTCCTACATTGAGAAATAAAAACATATAGTCTTATTTTGAGAAAGTCATTATGTTTTAGTCCTATTTAGATAAATTACTCTTGTTTTTATTTTCTTCTTTCTCTCGGCCAGAAGCCATCCACAGCTCAGGTAAGCTCCTCTCTCTCTCTCTCTCTCTCTCCTCTCCCCATTCTTTTCTTCTCGTTATCTTCCTCCTTTTCCTTCCTTCTCCTTCTTCTTCCAATCTTTCTTTTCTCTTCATCTCCCCTTCATTTTCTTCTCCTCGTTATCTTCCTCCTCTTCCTCCTTCTTCCCTTTCTTTTCTTGCTAGATCTAGCCTTCATCTCCCTCCTCTCTCTTTCCTTCTTCTTTTTCTTCTTTTTGTCATTTTCTTCTGCTAGATCTCGTTTGTTTTTTTTAGATCTAAAAAATCTGAAAATCCATTTATGAAGGGTTGCCAGCGATGGTGTCGGCGGCGATGGTGAGCCGACGGTGATGATAGGCTGGGTGCGGCAGTGGGGCTGGTGGTAGTGGGAGTTGGGGTGGCAATGGAGTTGGAGCAATTACAGGCATTCAAGTCAGGGATTGGTGGTGACGGTGGGGGTGCGGCGGGTGGAGGTGACGGTGGTGGTGTGGGTTGGGTCGATGGGGCGATTGGGAGGTGGCGGTGGTTGTGTGGGCTTAGGATGAGGGAAGGGCAGTGTTGAGATAACAGGGAAGGGGTAATTTAGGATGAGGGAAGGGCAGTGTTGAGGTGGCGGAGGGAGTAATACATTACAAATGACACGTGTTGATAGAAACTAAAAATTGACCATTACAACATACTTCAAATATTTTAGAAAACTTCCTTAAATACAACATTAGTGGTATGCTCGACTACATTATTATCAGCGTCGCAAATCAAAATTTTAAGGCCTTGACGATTTGTCACTCGAGAAAATGCAATGTATAACTGTCTATGACTAAAGACCGGTTATTTTAGTAGAAGACCAACGTGCTTTAGTACTGGCCTTGACTTTTATTTATTGTCATAGCGTATGAGGTCATTATCAAAAATTGTCTTCTCTGGTTCTTAAGAAATCCTCGTATCCGAAGTACGGGTGGACACGATACCGGTAGGGTACCGTGACCGGAAACTGTACCGCCGGTTCCGCTACCGTTACCGTCGGCCGGGACGGTCCACCGGTTCCGGGAACCGGTACCGGTACCGCCCACTCCGGTACCGGTTCCTGTGCCCATTTTTCAGTACCGGCACCGGCGGTACCGGTTCCGATTCCGGTACCGTAATTAATTTTTTTATTTCATTCTTTCCTTTATCAATTTCATTTTTAGAGTTTTTTATTTCATCTTTTCTTTTAACAATTACACATTTACAATTTTACACTTTAAAAATTTAATAAAAAAGCAAAAAAAAAAGGAAATTATAGGTGGCCGAAACGGTACCGGAACCGGTACCGGCCGATCCGGTACCGGTACCAAGAGGTGGCGGTACCGGAACCGGCGGTTCCGGGGTACCGTGTCCACCCCTAATCCGAAGTTGTGAGTCTGAGTCTTGGAATCACGCCTTATCAAACATTACTTTTTTTATATTGAATATTGAGTGGGCCAAGACTGGATATGATTGGCCCATCTCTAGCTCCATGTATGTATGATTGCAAACCATATACATGGGATCCACACGTATTTAAAATATAGATATAGACAAACAATTTTATGCAAATTATGTTTTAAGATTCAACATTTGAAGGCGTAGTGACCCCCTAAAAAATTTGTAATATTGTTGATAATTGTATAATTCACATTTCCAAAACCCGTATCAATGTATGTTAAAATTAACGTCAGGTCTTAAATTAAATAAGTTTAATTACCCAAAATAATCGATAACTGTTAGAGAGTATCTCACATTGAAAAGAAAATAAATCGGTATATATGTTTTTGAGTTGAATTAAATAATCGATTGGATTCAATCTTTTAATATGGTTCAACCCAAGTGTCTTATGACACAGTCTAATCCTAAATTCTATCATTATATCGTAGCCATAGTTAGCCCACTTCATTTGTTTAAATATCCGTATAGAAGTTTATTCATACAGTTCATTTGTCTTTAGCCCAGTCGTCCATATGCAAAACAGCATGTGGCCCATATAACCCGATTGTTCGTCTAGAAGTCCATGCCTAGCGACTCGCTCATGGTCCTTTAGATGTTGACACTTTCGGTTTTTCATTTCCTGGGGAGGGGTCTCTTTGTAAGTGGTCAACCGATTAGATTTAAAATTGGTACGGTTGTCCACAGAGATGGAACGTTAAAGATTATCCCACATCGAAACCTGAAAAGAAAATAATTCGATATATAAGCACTTGAGTTAAACTAAGTAATATATTGAATTTAATCTTTTAATATGGTTCAACCTTAGTATCTTATGACCCAGTCTAATAATTTCTATTGAATCCTAAAATCCTAAATTCTATCAATAACACTAAAAGTTAAATTGGGTGAATAGTCTATGATCTAAGTATTTGGTATAGAAAAATGTAATGATAAAGTCATGTTCTCTTCCCCTGATTTGATTTGAATAAGTTCTGATCTGAATGTAATTATATTTAAAGTTATTTATGATCTAATCTGATTTTAAGAAGAATAAGAAAAAAAATAAAAAATAAATTAGAGAGAACATGGCCTGAATAACTTTGAATTGATTTTCCTCCTATACTATCCTAATTTCTCCTTGGAATTATAATGGGATCTCCTAATTATTTATTCATGTATTCATTTGTGTTGTTTATATACATACAGGTGGCTTTGGCTACAAAGCAAGGACCCTTTATAGAGATAGTAAGAAAGGCACAGCTGGGAGTGGATCTTCCTCATGTGAAAACCGTGGACGCCGAAGGGCTAGAGGTTGGGTACGACCACCTCCACCTCACCGCCGCCGCCGAGGTGGAGCTCGGAAAGATGCTGGCTGATGCTTTCCTCCGCCCCGCCTCCGCCTCCAAACTAGCAGCGGCACCGCCCGCCCGCCACCGCTCCCCCTCTTCCCTCTCCCCTCTTCTCTTCTCTTCAAGCCTCTTATCTCTGTCATCATCATTAGTAGTATCCATTTTCCTAATTTGAGAAAGGAATTTAATTCGCTTTTATTGTGTGTATCTCCCATTTTTTCTAGTTCACTTCACCAGGGGAATGAATCAGATCATTGTTAGCATCCAACATTCCATTTTCATGTTCAATGAATGTAGCAGATCCCCAAACATGACAATCAAAGAAAATTTATCAATACATTCATCTCATTCTCCCAATTCTTTAAATGCAAAGAAGTATGATTATATTAAATCATGGAGGTTCATATCGAGTCTCAGTACCAGTAGCAGTATCGTCAATCGCTTCGATCTTCGATCAATGTGAAGATGGAGATGAAGAACGGGAGCTCGACAATCGCGTTCTTGACGATACTGCTCCTAGTACTGTACTTGTGGCAAACAATATTTCCAAGCGGGGAAATGCTTTTGCTTTTGAAAGAAGAAAGTTCCGCCAGCGTGGATAAGCGGCCGAAACAAATCATAGTAATGGCAGGGCAAAGCAACATGGCGGGGCGCGGTGGAGTGGTATGGAGGAAATTCGACAATGACACATCCCTCAAGGTGTGGGACGGGAGCGTCCCGCCCGAAAGCCACCCGAACCCGAACGTGTACCGGTTCAACGAGGAGTTCCAGTGGGAGCCAGCGAAAGAACCGGTCCACGCCGGGATCGGATGCACGACGACGTGCGGGATCGGGATAGGGATGGCGTTCGCCAACCATCTCCTGGCGCTGGACCCGGACTTCGGGCCCATCGGGCTGGTCCCGTGCGCCGCGGGCGGGACGTCGCTGAAGAACTGGACCACCCCGACGGATTACCCGTACCCGAGCCTGCTTTACAGGACGAAAATGGCGATCAGGAAAGGCGGCATCCTCAGAGCGGTGTTGTGGTTCCAAGGCGAGAGCGACTCGAAGTACTACAGCTTTGGGAAATCCTACGACCGAAACCTCCGACTACTCGTCTCGAAATTGCGCACCGACTTGGAGTCTCCCATGCTTCCATGGGTTCAGGTGGGTACAAATTACAAAACGTAACTCGTCCCACCATATCATTATAAAAAAATTAATGTTCACGTGCAAATTGACGTTACAGGTGATTATTCCTCACCAGAAACCGCCGTTTGAAGGGCCGTTGATAGAAGACGTGAGGAAAGCCCAAATGGGACTGGACTTGCCAAATGTGGTGAAAGTGGACGGGGATGGGCTCCCCATGCAAAGGGATGGGGTCCATCTCACCATTGAGGGCTACGTGAAGCTCGGTTATTTGCTGGCCGACGCCGTTTTCAAACACAAATCCTTGTTTTTCTCAAACCTTAATAATGCCACCAATTCCACTCCGTGTTCTTAGATAAAGTTAGTTTCGATTATTGTGTCCCATCCGTTTTTTTATGTTCCACGAAGAAAAATGGAAAAACGGCATTTTCGAATATGGGCCTCTAAAAATACCGTGTATGGGCTTATCAAATGTTGGGCCTATCTTGGGCTTTACCTACAACAGGACGCGTGGCAGGTGGGACAAAAACATCCTCGTACGTGGCCAGCTCGTAATAAGCGACCGCTTCTTCATCTCTTAGCTTCTCATTTCTATAAATTGTTCATTTTGCAACTATCTATTATGTCTAGAATTATACATAAATATATATCCACAAGTTTGCATTTAAAATTACGTCTTTGTCCCTTTAATTTCTCTCCTGCCCGGAAGTTTAAGAAGAGAACTAAACATGAATGCTTCTAAGGTAAGTGGAACAATAAATTCAAAAAAGAATATAATCAAATCCAATTTCTTGTGCTTTTAGAACATAATAGTTTATATATTTAAGTGACGTTAGGAAAGAGAGTACATAAACGAAGAAGGCGCGGTTGAGACGAAGGTGGAGAGCACAAAGTACGAGTCGCCGCCATGGCAACAACCGCCGCGGAAAGAGGCGGTGGAAGTGATCCATCTGCGTCGGACTGATGAAAACCCCGGCGTGGGTGGCGCTATGGCGGATGCCGCCACCAAGCTGGCTGACACGATCAATTCTGCTAAGGAAACCGGCGACCGCAACGATTGAAAAAAAATGGGTTTCTTATGAAAGTGAATAAGTGGTGCGTTCCAGGTTAAGGGCTTGTAGCTAATTGTCTTCTTCAAATGTATTACTGAGTGGCGGGAGTGCTATATACACTAGACTTATAAATCTTATACTCCATCCGTCCCACAGTATTTGTCCAGTTTGATTTTTTCGAGTCAAAATGGATAAACTTTAAGCTTCAATTAAATAAAAACCGTAAAATATTTTAATATAAAAATGACTTTATTCAATTTATCGTATTGAGAACTTTCAAAATTGTATTTCATTATGCTAATATGTAATACAAATTGAAAGTAATTTGAGTTCGAATTTTGTGCAGTTTGACTCGAAAAAGTCAAACTAGACAAATACTTTCTAAACTTAATTATCTTAATCTTCATACTTAATCTTCATGCTTTATCAACTTAGACGCAAAATTGAATCAATATTTTCTAAACTTAATAACGTATTATAGCCACACTTTTGATTCTGCTGTAAATCGAACTTGGGTAAGCTAGGAACCGAGGTGTTTCATTAGATTTTTCTCTTCATATTCAATATTAGAGATGTATATTCAATCCCAACTTTGTTAAAAGAATATTTTTAAGAGCTATTTATTAAAATATGAGAACATCTAATTTTATCCCTTAACCTGATATTTTTTCACTTTTGACTTTTCACTGTCTTCCATATAAAACTTTATCCATTAACACTTATATATATTTTATTTAATTATTTGATAAAATAAAATAATTTTTTTATATCATACTCCCTCCTTCTACAAAACAATTCCTGTTTTGACTTATGCATAATTTAATTTTGTAGTTTGACTTTTTAATTAAATCACCCGCGTCGAATAAAAAAGAGTGACAAATCACTTAAATTGCTTATTATATCAATACAAAATAGGTGGAGTCTATATTGGAATGGCTTTAATGGGATATATTAACCATTCTAATAAAAAATAAGTGTTTTAATGAATGCGAAAAACACAAAAGAGGAAATATTATCCAAACGGATGGAATATTTTGTAAAATTTGTGATGTATTTTTTAAATATGTAATTGGTTTTTTTTGTTTCCATAAAAAACTTTAAATGAATAAAAAATTAAATTTTACTTCTTCTTGGCTAAATTAAAACTTAATTTATTTAAGGACAAAAGAGCATATTTTTTCTATAAATTCTTAGGTACTTATTTTAAACTAGTTTTTTCATTATTTCGTTTTTGACCCGATTATTTACAAAATTATTCCTCATCATTTATGAATATTTACAAATAATTTATCTATCAATTAAGTCAACTTATTTTCATAAAAGAATATTTGTGTTATAAACAATTTATAAGTTAAGAATTATTTATCAGCAATAAATTAATAATCAGTGGTAAAAGGAGAAATACTCCTTAATTACGGAGAATCTTGAACACCATGATGATTCTCAGATCCAAACTCAATTTAATTAAATTTCTCATGATAGAAAAGATAGCAAGAATTCAGAAATAAAGTTTCATCGATCAATAATGTAAAAAAAGAATCAAATTTCCATAGTCTTAGAAAGAAATGGAGATGATGGATCGGAAATGGATACCAGCGAAGATGGAGGATTTTAGATTAAAATACATCTCTCAAATTATTACTCAGAAAATTTTATATCCCACAAATTTTATCTTCTTTGATTTATATATGGAGTATCAAATTTTAAAAAGAAATATCTCAAAAAGTCAGTGATGTACATTTAGAATTTCAACCATGCTAGGAGTACATTATACATACCACAAAAAGATGTACCAACATTTTAACAGTTTAGCATAAAATATCATTTCAATAAAAATAATTTGCACTGACATTTTGTGTCATTGTAAATGATCACATTAGTATTAGATTAGTAAAAAGATTGATACTACGTACATGTTTTCGAGGCACGAATGAGGTACAATTTTTTTAGAAACACATAACTTAATTCTGAAAATTTATAAATAAAAAAAAGTAATTTTAACAAGTGTATTTTAATATCACAAGAACATAAAATAAGAATGACTTGTCAAATTATGACATTTAACCGAAATGTTCACATGTCACAACCATAGGGATATTATTTCAAAATTAAATGGGGATATTAATTTGTAACATAGGTGCAATTGCACTATAACTGTTCAAGTAAGAGTTTTGAACCAGAGGTGAGTCCAAAACAAATTTTGCAAGAGAAACGCCAAAAATTACACCAATAAAATAAAAATAACTAAAAGTTAGGCGGACGAAGCGGCAATGATGAATGTCGGTGCCGGAGCAGCCAGCGGCGACGATGGATCATCCGCCGTGTCGCAGTGGAGTTTTACCGTATGGAGGCAGTACCAACACATACTGGACAAGTCGACGCCGCTAGTGCTCCGCCGCTGGATCTTCTTCTCGATCGTCGTCCTCATCTACGCCCTGCGGGTGTACCTAGTCCAAGGATTCTACATCATCACCTATGGTCTCGGTATATACATCATCCAGCTCCTTATCGCCTTCCTTTCGCCACAGGTTGATCCCGAGATCCACGAGCTTTCCGACGGTCCCACGCTCCCCACTCGGGGCTCCGACGAGTTTCGCCCTTTCGTTCGACGCCTCCCTGAATTCAAGTTCTGGTTCGTTTTGTTTCGATCCATTGCCGCTCTCTGATTTTGCATCTTTATTTGTCTGGCTGATTGCTTGTAAATTACTAAATCAATCCAATTTCGATTTTTAAAAATTGATACTCCGAATAAATTTGACATTTTCTCAATTGTAAAATTGCTTCTAAGACTTTTAGATTAACTCAAATATATGATGATGGATTTGCATCGGCATCTTAGGTGCCTTAATTCCAACAGTGTTGGCATCTTTCTCATGAAATTTGCAGTTAGTTAACTGTCTAAGAGAGTGACATTATTAAATGCTTTTGAAATTGCAACCTTCAAAAGGAGTAAATGGAAAATGAGTTGCATGTGGTAGAAATATCATTTGGCCTTCCATTGATGGTGTTGTATGTATGTGCTTATTCAAAATCAATAATTTGGCATTAGGGAATAAATACTTGAATCTGTTTCTTTGTCAATATATGGTATAGGTCATAGATAACAGTCACTCATAGAGTCAATGGTAAGGTTGATTACAATGAGATTTCATCTTAAGCTTGTTTGTTTTAGAACTTGGAAATGGACAAATGGATATGAAGTTTGAAACCTTTCAAATGTTTTTTCATTCATCTAAGAAATTGTGCGTGTTCAAAAAATTTCTTTGATTTGTGAAGGAAAAGTCTTATTTTGTATCCTGTTGACCTTATCTCGCACTAACCTCGAACAAGAGATGATTGAGGACATTGTAATATTCATAATATTTACATTCATCACACAAAACCAATAATTGTTTTCTATGTTTTGATATATATTCATTTTTAGTTATGCGAATCTCTTTGCCCATGAATCCATGATCGGATGAAAAATACTACTCTTCTTCAAACAAGGGTGTAGATCTCATGTTTTCTTACATGGTCATGACAGGCATTCTCTAACAAAGGGATTCTTCATTGCGTTTGTGTTGACATTCTTCAGTGCCTTTGATGTACCTGTTTTTTGGCCAATTCTATTGTTCTACTGGTTTGTGCTCTTTGTGTCAACAATGAAGAGGCAGATAATGCACATGGTGAAATACAAATATGTCCCCTTCACATTTGGCAAGCAGGTATTCGTTGAACTTATGCTTATCTGTTTTCTTGGTGAGATTGATACTTGTTCCTCCATATCAAGTAATGATTACCTGAGGGAAAAAAGACTAAAGTAGGAGTAAAACATTGAAAATATACCATAATAGGAGTTCCATATTTTTATTTCTTAGATAGGAGTAAAAATGCATTTACATTACCAAGCATGGCCATGTATATAACCAACAATGCCAATGTACAATGTCATTACCATAGTGTGAAGTCCTATTTAGGGAATAAAAACATGGAACTCCTATTTTGGTACATTCTCTATGTTTTACTCCGGAATTTAGGATAATTTTTTTTACCGGAGCCCATCTGGTGTGGCAAACATGTCGTAGGGGAAATTGTTGGATTTTACCAACACAAGTTCATTTTGATGATAAAATAATGAAAGAGAAGCAAAAAAGGTTTTGTTCAACAACTTCAGCCAATAGAGTGTAGAATATTGATATTTCAACCCAAAACCAGTTGGCTCTGAGAACAGTTGCTCTTATTCTTATATATCAGCCTTTTTTACTCGGTTGCTTTATGTGGAACTTTATCCTTAGCATCCCTTCAAGTGCAAATTGGGTCTTTTCCTCTCTTGAATAGACCTGGGCTTCTATTTTGAGGTCCTAAACCTTTGGGTTTGATAGAATGTAGAATTGTGAGATTACAACTCAAAACCAATTGGCTATGAGAGGAGTAACTTGTATTATTATATATAAGCCTTTTTTTTAGCTTGGGTATTCGATGTGAGACTTTTATTGTCAACAAAGAGTGCCTCCAGCCATATTTTTTTCACAAACCATTCTAAAAGAGTACCTCCATCAATAAAAGGTGGCTACCAAACAGACACTAAGGATCTGTTGTTCTTTTTTCCAGCGTTACACAGGGAAGAAAGGTGCATCCTCATCCGAGGATGCACCGCTTGTACAGTAAACCATACATAAATGGTAGTCTTGGTTTTCTTTGAGAAGCAGAGTCAGTGAGATGGTTGAGAGCTTGTTTTCCGGCGGTGAAGCCAGACATATTCAGAATTCTGATTGGAAACTATCAGCCCTTTAGTACATCTCCTTAGTTTTCTTGGTGTTTCAATGCCAGAGCTGCTAACTTTTGTGTTCTATAATGGTTGATCCATAGATCCAATAACAGTCTTGCAACATTGTGTGTTGAATACATCAATCATGAATGATCATTTTACTTGGGATTTTTTCCTTACCAGTCCAATATAGATATTTTTGCACTTGTGTATGAATTATTGATTTTATTATTCTTTTATTTGTATTTATATGTGCAGTATGTTACTCCTACTTGTTTTTTTTTCTTTTTATAATAAGCTCTCTCTATTTATTCTTTTGTGAACTACTCCCTCCGTCACACTACATTTGTCCACTTTCATTTTTGCACACCATCCAATGCACTTCTTTAATCCATTTTATCTTGTAATTTGTATATTAAAAAATTATAGAAATTATATATTAATAATCTATATGTTAAGACAAATCAAACAAGATCACACATGACTATATTTAGGCTTACACATTGAGAGAATTTGATGAGTCAAAGTGCTTAGATGAACAGTTCCAAAAGTCAAACCTGGACGA